GACAGATAATCTAAAATCAATAATGGACTTCCCAACGCCAACTACACAAAAAAACATTCGTCAATTTCTAGGTAAAATTAATTTCTATCATGAATATGTGCCGAAGGTTGCAACTATTTTAGAACCACTGCATAGATTGCTTAGAAAAAACCAAAAATTTATTTGGTCACAAGAATGTCAAAAAGCCTTCAATTATTTAAAAAATTATTTATGTAAAACACCAATTTTGACTATTTATGTTCCTAAATTACCAATCAAAATTTATACTGATGGAAGTATTATAGGATTGGGAGCAGTATTGAAACAACCTCAATCAGATAATAACGAAAAACCAGTAGCATATTTTTCAAAAAAATTAACAAGTGCACAAAGTAAAAAGAAAGCGATATACTTAGAAGCATTAGCTATTAAAGAAGCTATTAAATTTTGGCAATACTGGTTGATTGGTAGATCTTTTGAAGTGTATTCGGATCACAAACCTTTGAAGGATTTAAATATAAAAGCTCGACCAGACGAAGAACTGGGTGACTTGACTTATTATATGTCTCAATTCGACTTTAAGGTGATATATAATCCAGGAAAATTCAATATAGAAGCGGATTGTTTAAGCAGGAATCCTGTATTGGAAGCTGATGAATATGAAGAAGATATTCTGAAAACAGTAAATATAATAAGTCTGGAAAGTATCAAGAAAGACCAAGAAAAAAATAAAGAAATAAAAAGTCAAAAAGCAATGTGCAACGAACATAATTTATATTTACGAAACGGGAAAATTATATTATCAGAAGTGTTTAGCAGGACACTAATATTAAAGGTACATAAAGAGTTCAATCATATTGGAATAAGCCAAATGACAATTATGATAAAGAAATATTACACTGCCAAAAATCTTTTAGAAAACATCAAAGATGCATGTAGAAAATGTGAAATCTGTATACAAAATAAATCAAGAGGCCAATATAAATATGGATTGTTATCACAGCTGGGTCCGGCAAAAAAACCCTATGAAATAATGTCAATTGACACGATAGGAGGATTTGGAGGCTCAAGATCAACAAAAAAATATATGCACCTACTTGTAGATCATTTCACAAGGTTCGCACATATTATAACTTCGAAGACTCAATCAGGTAGTGACTTTATAAAGTTGGTAAAAAAAGTGACAGATAATGAACAAATAGGGAAAATCTTGGTCGACCAATATCCAGGAATAAATTCCTATGAATTTAAAGAATATATAAAAAACAAAAACATACAGCTAATTTTCACAGCAGTGAATGCACCTTTTTCCAACGGCTTAAATGAACGGTTGAACCAAACCTTAGTGAATAAAATAAGGTGTAAAGTGAATGAAACTAGAGACAGGAAAGCCTGGACAACCATAGCACAACAATGTGTACAAAAGTATAATGAAACGGTGCACACAGTAACAAAATTTAGTCCAAAATATTTGATGGAAGGCACTATAACTACCCTTTTGCCAGAAGAATTAGCTACAAATCAACAACTCACAAATTTAAAAGAAAATAGAATCAAGGCACTACAAAACAGCTTAAAATACCATGAGTATAATAAAAAAGTATATGACAGAAATAGAAAAGATCATGTTTTCCAAACTGGTGAAATGGTATATGTAGAAAACGGAAACCGTCTCAACAGAAAAAAGTTAGATAAGTTAAGAATAGGACCATATAAAATATTAGAAAAGATCTCTGACACGATGTACAAAGTAAACACTGGACACAAAAAAGAAGAGTCTAACATTTTTCACTACTCAAAACTAATTCCACTGGAAGACGACGCGGAACAAGCTTTTGCAGACGTTTCTCTCTCCCGAGGGGGGGAGATATAAGAAGTATACTTCTTAGGTATTTGAATTCGCGTTAGTTGATAAGGTAGGCTGATAAGACATATTATGTGATATCATATTATATCAATTATTTTGAATGATTTGATAAGATACAATACCATGTGAATATGTGATAGGATAAATTAATTATTATGTTTAGAGTAATTTGTTATAATTGTTAAATTAATTTGTTAATATATATTTTGTAACTTGTGACTTTGTGAGAGACAAGATTGGGATCAATAAACATTGAATGTTGTTTCTCACTTTTACAGGTTTGTAAATTATCTAGTAAATAAGTTGTAAATATCATTATAATATAATAAACTCACTTTTACAGGAGAAACGTTTCAGTTTATTATACTAATCTTGCCCCAGAGTGACAATAATTAAAATACATTATTATATACATATTGCTATGGTGAAAAAATAGACTTATATAATATCAAAAACAAAATGTAATTTCATCATATTATGTTGTTTGTAAAATTAAAAATATATTAATACATATAAAATAAATTATATGATGTAATATTATGTTTATTGTTGTAAAATAATATAGCTAAATAATTCCAACTTATTTTTGTAAATGTTAGGAATAAAATGACATAAAAGATTTAATATATTACACCCACAATTGTATGGCCTATACAATATTATTTTCATAAAAAGCTTTAATAATATAAATAATGTTTGTGTTATCTGTATTATATAAACGAGTACCAAATACTGCATAAAACATAATGAACCCACCGTGAAGTGTTGAATTATATTAGCCCTGTTCATAGGCCTACATAAGAAATATTTAAAAAGATAAAGAAATAGTAAACTTTAAAATAAAAACGAAAAGATCTACTTTATCTTACACATATAATATTATGTACCTATATACAATTCGAGCACCATCGCACATGCATATTGCCAATCATTTTATATTGCCACCATTTATTACAATACTATATACTATGACGGAGGAGAAAGTCATTTTTTCTCTCGTGTCCTCAACTCAGATCTGTGACCATTATGCGGATGAATTTTTTTCATTGTCCAATGACTACGACCCACATAAATTGTCCGGGTCTCTCCGCCATTAATGCTATATATATATATATATGCAGAAAAGTGTTGGTAACGGTCAATGGTCCGAATAACGTGGTTTCATTCTGTCGGTCCATATAGTGAAATGTGACGTCGGAGAAAAGAGACTTCTATGCGGGGAGGGTGAAAAACATTGTTGCGAAAAAGAACATATTATAGGCAGGGTGTGTCAAATATAAAACACCGTTGTCCGTTACACCGTTGACTACGGCAAATAAACTCGCGGAAACTGTCTCCTAGCGACCACCGACCCCTAGCTATATTGCAAGTTATTGGTTCCAGATCGACAACATATTATTATTATAGAATTTAGAATATACACACGCTAGACCCAGAAAAAATCGTCACAATGTATTTTGAAGTTTACCGATCTCAATAGGTATAACTCTTTAGCTTTTGCAATAGTTGTGCTATAGGTGCTAAGTCGTTTCAAACGGTGATAATACCTACTGATGATTATGGTATTAAAAATTAACCGAAATTCGATTCGACGGTGACGTATACCGTGACGGATATACGAGTATATAGCAATATTATATACATACGCAAAGCCGGTCACCAGACGCCTCTTAGGTTTTATGTGTCACGGTTACCGGAGTGAGAAACAATTTCTCCGGTATGGGGAGTTACACTGGGGTGGGTGAGAGTGGGCCTTGTGTGAACGGTTTAGAAAATTAGCAACACACTCACGTTCGACGTGTTATATCCTTACGAGTCTCTTATGCTAATATAAAAATAAAGTCAAACCAAACATTTTACACACTTGTAGTGTGTATAATGTACATGGCTATATTTTCCAGTGCAGTTCCTCTGGTAGTACCTGCACGCGAAACCTTATTTATAGAGGAATAATATTCGATAAGAATTCATTTCTGATTCTTCCCGAACTTATTAAAGTAACTATAGGTTGGTATTCATTTAGGTATCTCAGCCAACCTTGTAGCCGTAAACAAAATATTAATAACATTCGTACAAATCACCCGGCTGTAGTATTTTATTAATTATTTTATTACACACATTTCGTCTGTATCTTATTATGTCATAATATTGTTGTGCATTGTATCATATTAATGTACACAATATATATACTTAAATGTTTATTTTTACATTTGTACAAACGAGTGAATCGATAGTCAGTACCTATATTATTTCACCGAGTAGTTGTTAGACATTCTACAATTGAATTAAAATGTATTACTCCAGCGGGGACACAGGATATAATATACAATACACATGCATACCTCAATGCGATTTTTGATTATTTATCATAAAATCATGGGTACGGAAATAATTTGATAAAATATGTATACTCCTACCCTCTCATATCGCACAATGAATATAAACAAGGAAAACATTTTTTCGGTTACCGAGGTAGTGCGCATATATGTGGATTCCAGAATAACTAGGTAACAAGTAATAAACTGTTATTTCATGACCACGTATACAAATGGTAAGATTCGTTTTTTATCCCTCACTCCCGGTTTCTGTTTCTCTATTATAAAATAAAATATAGTTTTTGAAACTGTCGACAGAGCCTACACAAAGAATCTCACACTTGAAAAATGTATTTACCACCTATACCGTTGTGTGAGGACGTAGACTCGTATCTGATATTTTATGAATTAGCCATTGCGGAAAGGGGCGGATTTGGCGCATGTTTCATGTTCACATACCTCTACATTTATTATGGATATCAAAGCAAATTAAAATCCTTTAGAAAATATGTTTTTTGTTTCTGAACGATTTTTTCCCAAGGTTTTCGTTGTCATGGTTGTACTTAATAATAAAAAAATCATATTTATGGTTCATAGATTTTCCTTATGGTGTGGAACAATATCGAGGAGCACGCACTTGTTACATTGGTTACAGAACGAATTACAACTACTTTAGTAAATAAACCTAGAACATAAACTTTGGTAATTTTTATTGCTCGTTCGTTGATTTACGGTCATGTTACGATATCGTCACTATGCGATAGAAAAATATTCGCCTCCTTACGTGTTTTGGCATGCTTTTTACAATATGTAATTCTATCTATACCTATTAATATTATATGTATATCATATTGTGCACTACTCACCAAGTCCATGCCACACGGCTCTTTCGTTGCCGTCTGTCCACTCGACCAACGCGCCTTGTCTGTCTTTGGCTACAAATCGGCCGTGCACGACGTCTGCAAACAGCACGTAATACGTGCCCACCGTCACTCTGGCCCCGCACGCCCTGTGCCCGTCATCTGGTAAATCATTCCAAAATCCCGTCACGTTCATTCTCCTGCAACGATCACCGACAGTTGAGTCAATAAAAAAATAAAATGATGTATATCGATAAGATTATTACATTATACAAAACTACAACGTGCGAGTATGCCAAGAGACAATATTAATTTATTTTTAATTGTTATATTTTTAGTATGCTTTTTTATAAAATATTCTATTATTCAACACTTCTAATTAGTAGGTAATAATAATATGAGCGATTGCCATAAAGATTGCCGATTGCCGCAGTAATATAATACGAAGACGTCGCACTTGAGTTCCGATGACTATGATATTATAATATTACAATAGGTATACATAAAATAGAAACGCCTAGAACGTTTCATTAGGCACCTATGAAATGTTCTTTGCGTGATGAATAGCCGAAAGTATGAGTAACATTATAGTGCTTTTGATTCCGACCAGAGCAATTTTTTTTTACCGATTGATAATTCATTTTTACCAGTGAAAAACATTACAAAAAAATACACGTGCTCTGTTTATATAGGTTGCACCATTGAACGTGATCAGTACTGAATATCTAAAATGTACTTTAGGGGGGCATTTATTACGTTTCTCAATACTTTTCACTAAACGGAAAATAAAAAAAACCTGTCCTATAAATAATATGTAGGAACAAGCTCTTATTTTTGAAAACATCTTTACCATATTTTTGGTGAACTTAAACAATAGGCTCCTCTTAGAATCGTTTTTTCTTTTTAATACATTCAATTATAGTTTCATTCAAATTAAGTATAAATGCTAATAATACCTGCATCATTGTCTTGCACAGAGTTTTGACTCTGTTTCAAATTGAATCAACAAAATATTATAAGAAAGTAAACAAATCGTCTGACGGTGTCAAATAATTTACATTTTCAATTTACATTACACCTACATATTTTCTTTTTCAGTTAACTACATTATAAACTATATTTATAAACCTTTTTGGGGAATACAGTATTTTATTAAAGCAATATTATATTGTGCTCGTAAATATAAAAGTTTCTTGTAAAAAAAAAAATAGTTTTTCTAAAGTTACTGAAGAGATTTCATATTTTATATATTCCCATCAAATATCAAAGCGAATTCAAAACTTTTGGATCGATCATTTTGAATATTAAAATTCTAAGTATGAAGCTAGGAGCAACTTACTAGCAAAGTAGCAATCTAGCATAATAGTTTGTTCTGAGTACATAATATAAACCTACTGTATGTTGGGCTATAACGGGTTGATATCGGTAAAATATTCATCGCCATTAAATATGTCATATAATATGTTTTAGTACATAAAATCGTACATAAAATAATTAAGTTTCGTAATGGTATTACGATATAATAAACTATATATTATGTAAGCCATTAATGTTTTTTTTAGGCACCTATATACGATTTAAAATCAAAAATATGAAATGTTTTCGTTCTGAAATATGATATAAATAAATAAATTACACAAAAACAGCGAGTTTCGCTATATGTAAATGTGTATAAATAAAATAAATGGCTTAAAACGCATATATACTATCAAATTAATATTATTATTACCTAATTTATGCTCGTATATTTTATATAGCCCCAAATTCACTGAATAGAGATTAAATACAATTTATAGGTTTTTTAATTGTTTTAAAACACTAAATACACATTTATAAAATTTGGTGTAATGTCTTAATTTAACAATTATTTTTATTATTCTTCTCGAAAAATCTATTGTTTTTTACGAGATAAGACAAACGATCGAGAACTTAGAATTAGTGTATAAGAAGGTGTCGGTAATGATGTGGCATCAGAATACTGCGCATGTATGAATCAACCGCATAGCCAATGTTGGTCATAACCGAGAACAAAGTAAATAAAGGACGACAAGAACGTTTCGTTTATAGGAAGCTCAGATGACGTGGTCAGACAATGGCCTGGGGATTGATGGATACCTGCAGGTGGAAGCTGGGGCGTAATAACAGTAATAATAATCCCTTATTATACTAATTTTATCCCTTAAACCACGTGATAAAGGTGCTAATAAGTCAGAAAATATTAGTCTTGAATATCCCCGGTATCCGTGATAAGAACAGATAATATTATAGCTTAGGTGACTGTGGTGGCAAGGAGCCCTTCACACAATAAAATGTTATCTTACGTATAAATCGCATTTAACGCTGAATACCTTAAAAGTTTTTCTCTTTGGCCACTGCTCTATCACCTACGTACACAAATTACACCAGACCAACTTCCATCCGCCTTTATTATAAATAAAAGGATTCTTTTTCTCTTTCATCCAGACAGGATGCTTTTGAAATATACACTGGCCCATAGCGTGAGCGTGAAAATGAAAAAAAAAAGCATCTAATAAAATATCCGGAGGGGATTTAATGTAGCCTTTGACAATTGCCTTTTTACCACCACTACTGACACCACAATCACTACCTGCAACCCGCAGCATATTATTATCCTGCTACCACAAATTGACTGTGTCTGCCACCAATACCACCTGGTAACCTACAGTTAGATTTATGTTTAAATATATATATATATATATATTTATACATATACAAGAGACGTCTTCTTACCGGCGGCAAAACTATAACTGTATCAACTGAAAGCTGTTAAGACATATTTTGTGTTTTTATCCATTTCGACTCATTTTGTTGCATTGTCTTTTGGACATCTCGCGATTTTGAAGATTTAACACATCGTAAATACATGTAATTATAGTTATTGCTTATATTGTGTTATATAATAGTAAATACTAATAGTAATTTGTTGGATTAACATTAATACTAATTGATACTGTTAATATCATCAGTATATTTTTATTGAGATCGATTTTTTTTATACATTTTAAACCCTTAACTATTGAGTAAAATAAAAATGTGCTATGCATAGGTTTAAGCCATGGATAAATAACACAAAACTATACTTCTATACGTCATATTATTACTTCAACCTAACCAGAGTTAATGCTATAGAATACAGATTAAGTATTTGAAAAACATTCCAAAATGAAACAAAATACTTTTCCAATTTTTTTTTTTTTTGTAAAATTTAAACATTTTTTATTGCACAATCTGTTCGAATAAACGTAGAACATGATGTTTTGAGGAAATAATAAAATACAAGCAGCATACTTCCCAGTGGAAGAATTTCGAACGTTTTCTGAATAGAAAATTCAAATTTTATTTGAAAAATTGTACTTGTTTATTTTTATTTTATTTATTTCTGGAACTTATATTGAGGAAAAATACACTTAAGTATGCGATATCACAACTTCATGTAAAATTGATGAAAAATTTGACTATTTATTTAGGCGTATTCAAATCGTCTGGTGAAATTCAGCTGACCTGTTAAATGGCTTATTATGGCACTTTATAAGAAAGCAACTAAGCCAGTTAAACCAAACAAAATGGTTTTAAAGTTTAAAAAGCCTAAAGTTAGTATGTAATTTAAGAATTATATCACAATATAATACTTTTTCTTTAAACTAATACCAATAATATTTATTACTAAGCATAATAATAATCTAATATGACAAACTTCAGAATATTTGTAAATATTATATCAATGAATATTCAATTTTGTATTAAAAACATTATATTTATATATTGGATACATATACACCACTTATAAGTTATAGTAATAACTTTAAATATATATACATACAAATATACAATAAACAATTATGCATGGGTAATATATATAATAAACCAGAACACAAATAATATCGTAAAAGATATATTTTAAACATTAAAAAACAGTAAAGTAAACAAATCAAGGGTTTTTTTATAGGTACTGCATAATATTTATATTTGAATACCTTTTAATCTAAATTATTCAAATTTTAACAGAGCATGTTTGCTATTATAATAATATGACTTCATATCAACAACAAAAGACTATGTTTCATAATACCAAAGTTATTTCCTACAAAATAATAAATATGCATTTACTTTTTAACCAAATTTATATTTTTATATTTAGTGTTCAATACGTTCAATGAGGATGTATCAATATTTCGGCATTGAAATAATTTCAATTGCGTTCAATAAAAATTGACTTCTTACATATTTATATATAATGTTATATACACCCCATACCAAAACAATAAATATTTATTACGTCTTTCAAATTGTCGACGCCAGATAAGATTTTTATTTGGATGTCTAAGTGCCGCCGCACCACTATACCGCTCAACCCGGTGTAGGTCAGCGACCGATATTTGTTTTGTTAAATTCACACACACACACACACGCACATCTCCTATCTGTTACCTGTTTGTTCCTATATTTATATTATTGTTTTTATTTATGCTTTAATTATCCGTATCACCTGTGAATTATTATATAATATGTAAATTATCGCCGCCGCCTCTCCGGCTGCGCGATTATTAGTATTTTAGCACGGCCGCCGTAAATGTGCCTGTTCATTCGCACACCGCTGTCATCAAGACGAAAAATTTATCGTTGAGTGTGCCGGTCGCCGTATATTTTATATTATATCATTTTATAAGTTTTTTATTGTGCGCTAATCGCCAAATACTATAATTTCTTTGTATTCGTGGGCGCTAATCGCCAAATACTATATTTTCTTTGTATTCCATTTTTTTTGCTGGTTTTATATAATTTATATTGCGTTTGTACGCGCGTTGTTGTTAACTATTATTATTGTGTGTGTGTGTGTGTCAATTACCATATTTTTTGTAGGCACAGGTAGCAGCTGGCCAGCCGTTCACCGTCATATTTGTGAGTTTTATATTTTTATTACAATTATATTTATATTTTATTGGTGAGCCAAATAGGCATTATCTTATACTACATTGTATTTACATTACGTGAGCGCTAATCGCCACTCTTATATTATATCTTATATTTTGTTTTTTATCCTTTATTTGTGTCACTGTGATTTATTTAAATCACCACACATATTATAAAATATTATTTTTACTTGTTGGACCAGCAGGGTCAATATTATTAATACATACTTATTAATTATTATTATTATTGTATAGCAAGCCAAAGGCCA